TCAAATATTTTCACCACCGGTTCAGTGGGCGTGGCTTGGTGGACACACACTTTGCGCATGTAGGCACGCCAAACACATACTTTGTGCAGAGGCTTTGTTGCTTCAGCAGCTGCCACTCGGCAATCGCGCAAAGCAGGGAATAAAGGTTAGTATGGAAGGCCAGGTGGGCGGGCAGACCAACAGCAGAATGCTGCCCATCGGCACTACCGGCTTGGCAGAACCAGGCCAAACCAGTAGAATACCACCACTGCAAGTAGTCCTCAACTTATGCCCACAATTGAACCTAAAATTTATGTTGCTAAACAATAAATGTGTTGCTCTTCCCCATTTTATGACTTTTCTTACCACATTTCTTAAGTGAATCACTGTAGTTCTTAAATTAGTAACGCAGTTGTTAAGTGAATTTGATTTCCCCGTTGACCGCTTGCCAGAAGGTTGCAAAAGGGGATCACGTGATCCCGGGACATTGCAATCGTCATAAATGGGAGTCAATTGCCAAGCGGCTGAATTCTGATCACATGACCATGGGGATTCTGCAACGGTCATAAGTGTGAAAAATGGGGGTAAATCCCTAATTTTAGTGCTATTGTAACTTCAATCAGTAAATGAAGTCGAGGACTACCTGTACAATTTAAAGGCAAAGGAGAGCCAGCAAGATGCAGAAATTAAGATGTTGGATTTTCACCTGAGAGTCAGGTATGAGTCTCTCCTCAGCCACGGAGCAGTCCAAACAATTTTATAGGAACATTGCGGGATAAATGGAAGGAGACGTGATGTGTGCCACTTTTCTTTCTCCTGAAGAAAAGACAGGATTGAAATCCTACTATGTAAATCTAATAAGCAAACGAATCTGCTTAGCATTTAGTCCTCGGTCTAGGCAAGAGAGGAATTCCTCTGAGGTTTAGACTTTTATGAGGGAGAAACGTGGATAAACGAATGCTTCTCAGTATAGAGATTATGGTCTGTTAGAGAGCAAGATCCAGGCCTTTCTTTCTGGAATCCTGATTGCTGACCTATGAATTTGTTTCTGTGGAGACCCCCCGACAATCGGTCACGCCCATATTAGCAGTCATCCCAGCTTGGGGGCCACTTGGTTTTCTAGTATTAGGTGTTTAAATTGGTGGTCTAAAATAGAGGTGTGGAACAATGGCCTTCTTTATGACTTGTGGACTTCAACTCCCAGAATTCCTGAGCCAGGGGCGGCAAGTCCACAAGTCATAAAAGGGCCATCGTTCCGCAACCCGTCCCCAATTTAAAAAAGATGTTCCACAGATTGATACAGAATGATTTGACCCACTTTTCCTCCCCAAAAGATTATGGTTTGTACAGAGAGATACCTCTGAGTTTATACCGCTCTCATGTCCTTTTTTGTCCCTGATATTCTGCCGAGAATACAAATCCTTGAAAAAAGCTGGTTCAAGCTAACCATTTGATTCAAGCTTGTGTTGGTGCAACATTTTTAAGACTACAAGTAGTCCTCGACTTACAACCACAATCAGGACCAGAATTTGTTACTAAGCAAAATGGTTGTTGAGTGAGTTGCCTCTGTATTTTCATGATTGCCATGGTTAAACGAATCACAGCTGTAGTCAATTGTGGGAGTTGTTAAGCGAATCCATGCCTGACCTTTCTTTCCAGCTAACAAAGGTCACAAATGACAACCGCAGAACCCTGAGATGCTGCAATGGTCGTAAATATATGCTGGTTGCTAAGCACCCAAATTCTAAATATGTGATTGTGGAGATGCTGTGACAGTCATAAGTGCAAGGACTGGTCAAAAAGTTCCTTTTTTTTAATGCCGTTGTAACTTTGAACAAATGGTTTGCCAGAGCATTTGCAGCATGACTACTATTGTGAGACAACCCAGGAGCAAAACACAACACACAAAGACTTAGACATTTAACGGTAGTTTATATACAAGATAGTTATATACAGAAATATACATGGTAGGCAAATACCTGACAATCAATCAATCTTCTTAACTCTACATGGAGAACTCTGCAATGAATAGAAGACACAAGGAGAGAAAACATGCCCTCTAATGGCTGCCTTTATATAGACACCTCTTAAAGAGGTAAAACTTCCGTGGATCCATTCTTTGTCTTAAAAGGGCAATACCCATGCTATGCTGATTCATCCTTATTGCATCAGCCTTTCATTGCATCAGCCTTTCATTGCATCAGCCTTCCATCAACTGGTCAGCCCTTAATACCTTAACATGGTTGCTATTACCTGAAATAGGATGCAGACAGGATTAGATACAGTGGACCAGCAACAACACTCACCATCCCAAGAATATCATTCCTATGCTTCAGGCCCTGTGCTGGCCTTCCTCTTAGCCTCTGGGTGTGATCAAAGCCCTTCCTGTCTCTGTAGTCTGATGTGGCCCTGCCACCAAGATACCTAAAGGACCATCTCCGGCCAATGGATTTGATCTGTGCCCAACCCATGCACCCTGTGAGACATTTTTGGGTAATTTTCTGTTTCTGCTTCCACAGAGGAGGAGGTGCTTTTCAGTGGCAACACTTTATTTCACGGAACAGTCTCCCATTAGAAACAAGGTTGGCCTCCTCGGTGCTCTATCTTCCAGAAATTCCTGAAAAACAGACGTATTCCAGAAAGCCGCTAGCGAGTGACGAGCTGTCTGGTTTTGGTGACGTTTCTGGCTTTAGAATGGCATATATTTCAATTCCTAAAGTGGACATTTTATTTAAACGCTTGGGCTGTTTGAAATTACTGTAAACTGCTGAGAGTCTTGCAAACTGCAGCAGACTAAACCGGCAGGTAGATAGATAAAATATATTTATAGATTATAGAAACCCCTCTGACAGCAGCTTTACTGCAAATTTTTTCCTCCGTGTTTAAGAAAAATACATTTTTTTTAAAAAAAAGAATCGACTGAAGTATAACAAATCTAGTAGATCAACTATCCACCGGGTTCTCCTCACTTAACTCTGCACTCTGTAAACATCCATCTCGGGTAAAACTGGCAGCAAACTGAATGGCAATTCCAGGGCCCCAAGGCCAAATTACAGTCAGTTTGCTCCAGCCTGCAAACACAGCATTGTTCCAACCACATTTAGGATCCAAACAAAGTCTGTACATAGGCAAGCCATGAGCAATATCGTTGCTGGTAATAAAACTGCTATATCTCTGCCCTTTGGTATACCGACTAATCTTATGATCTCTCTGGTTCTTGAAATCGGATGGAGGCAAGGCACAAGGTGTGCCACCAAAACCTTGCCCCACAATTCATAACATCCCCATCTTTTAGAGACAAAGTGTGTGAAGGAGCATAAATGACACCAGATCCTCAAGTGGCAATAAGTCCCTAAAGGAAGTGGGGACCCATAAAGTTGGAAAGTAATAAACTTGTAATCTGTCCCACGGAGGTTCCAGCCAAATCCTTTCCTAGTATTTTATCATTTATTTTATTAAACCAATTTATGTAGTCCCTCATCTTGAGATACAAGAGTTTTATTTCCTGCACTCACGTTCAAGCTACTCAATTTAGATATTATTAGTACCAGTAATAATTATATTTCTGTGGTCCTCAAAATTCTCCCGATCACCTTGGCTTGTAAAGAATGGAAGTCAGAAAAATACAAGGGACTGTGTAGAGAAGCCGATAATTTGGTGTTTTGTTTTATTCTGTTTCCTTAATAATATTGGAACTTAAGTTTAATCCAATATAATTGATTAGAAATTGTGACACTGTTTACTGATTTCTGGCATTCACAGCCACAAGGCCTGCTGAGTGGTTGTAAAAGCAAATTTCTGGAAAAAGAGTTCTATCAATGATTATTTAAGCATTTCAAATAAATGGAACTTCCAGGAGCAGATGCAGTATACCTGTAAATCATAGTTGCTGGAAAATACAAAATGATAGAGGGCTATGCCCTTCAGGAGTTCCTTATTAGCTTCCAAGGATGTAGTAGATGCTCTGTGGGTTTTGTTTTCTTCCACATCCCGTCTCAACTTTTAACTATCTCACTTACGAGCTCTATGAAGCTTGGGAAATTCCTAACAAAAACAAATCTCACTTCTTTGCACCCTCAGCTTTAAAATAGTACGAGCCTGGAGGGGACCCCACTATACCTGGAAAGGAGGAAACTGTTCCCCAAAAGGAGATTGGCAACCCTATCTTGCCAACACAACTAGCACGGCTCAATGCACAGGAATTCAAAAGCGACGCACTTGGCTCTATCTGCCCAACCTGTTTTTCTCTCATATATATATATAATTCTGATGCTTTTAGGGCTCGTTTATCACAAAACGAGTTTGGGTTTGGGTGAGCTCTTATCAAAAGCTAATCACGTTCTCACAGGAGTCTCACCTCTGCTGATTCAGAAGCTCCTGGCTAGTCTCTGTGGGAAACAAAACCCTGGATTTGGATGGAATGCTCTGTAATTCTTACCTGCTCTAGGGACAGAAACCCCACAATACTTCTTACAGCAGATGTTTGGCAAAATAAAGAGAAATTGAGAGGCACCTAAATAACCTTCATGACTGATTCAGTACACATACCAGCTTTGCCTTTAGCAACCGAGGTAGCAGCAGACAGTACAGACTTGGGGTCTTCTTTTGGCAAACATTCACAGCTCTCCGGATGGTATATGTCAGAGGTGGTATTCAGCAGGTTCTGACCAGTTCTGGAGAACCAGTAGTGGAAATTTTGAGTAGTTCATAGAACCAGCAAATCCCACCTCTGACTGGCCCCGCCCCCATCTATTCTCTGCCTCCCGAGTCCCAGTTGATCGACGGGGTCTTCTTTAGTTGCCCTGCACAGGAGAACGGAGCTGGAAAGCAGGTTAGTAGGGTGGGGAGGGAATGGGGATTTTGTAGTATCCTTCCCCCGCCATGCTCACCAAACCACACCCACAGAATGGGTAGTAAAAAAAAATGAATCCCACCACTGGTACATGTGATGTGACTAAGGGAGTTAGAAAGGCTGGATAGGTGGAGTTGGAAGGGATGCACAGCCAGGAAATGCTCAAGGAAACTGCTATACAGCTTTGGGGTGTGAAGCCAAGGTAGAGGTCACGCTAAATATTTAGCCAGGATTGATAAAGGAGGCAATTAATCATGGTTTGCAAAGAGAGGGTCACATGCAAGCTAAGCCAAACTGCACTATGGCCTAATGTGGCAAATGAACTCAGATCATACAGAAAAATACTTAAATTCCTTAACAAGATATGTCCCAATAGATAAAAAAGCAGCCCCAGTGGGATGACATTCATTTAAGAAGCTTTTAAGCTGCCTCTTGAAGAGACAAAGTTATTGTCCCAGGTTGTGTCCTTCAAAAAAGTTTAGGTATTGTTATATTTTTGCCTTTTAATCCCAGGCATGAGCCTTCTGTCCCTCTCCTTTTAATATTGTCTTAATAGTAATACTTTTGAGCAGATCAAAAGATAGTTTTGGACCCATAGTGAAAGGAGTATTCATTCACAGGTGTCAAGAGGGCCTCCACAACATTGCAACAAACATGGAAAACCTTTTGATTGTTGGTGATCAATCCTGCTAAGTCAGAATATGGCTTCCTTGATTTTGGTTTGTTCCATAAAACCGAGCTGCTGTAGTTTGTAAACCATTGTTGATGTCTTGTTGAGATGTGTGATCCTGACCATCA